AAAAAAAAAAAAAAAAAAAGGAGACTCCAAGAGTAAGTGTCCACGCTGCTGTCAATTACACACACATACACGTGAATGCATGAGCAACAGTCTGAAAAGAATCTAAAAACAAAAATATTGCACTATTCATTCTTTTCAACGCAAAAATCTAAATAAAACTTTCTCATTGTTTAACAGCTTTACTAACAGTGGCCACACTCACTATCCTGGGCTGTCGCTGTGCAGGAGCAGAAATTCTGATAAAGGGTCTACATTTTTATCTTCTCTACATTTTATCTTTAACGTGTCTGCCGTAAAAAGTAGGGTTCCTAAAACGCCTTTTCCCTCCCTCAATACTGTGACAGTCTACATACAAACTCATCTATATGGGGAAAAGTGACCGCTCTTAGCCTCTTTTAGCACATGCATACTAAGATCTCCTAGGAAAACACCAACCATAAAGTGCTCCTGGTGGAGGTGAAGAAGGAAGGGTGGGTGACCCAGTCCGAGTATCCTGAGGCTTTTGAGGCCTTATACATTCACAGCCGAGATCCCTTTTTGGGACAGAGCAAACCGAAGGCTTTGTTCCCTAGAGATGCTCCAAATAAAGCACGACTTGATTTCGGTGCAAACTCCCACACAACCCGGTCACCTTTCAACAAAGCTCAGGAGTACACACAACTACACTCCAGGAGGAAGGAACAGGAGACAGAGTTTCCATCTGGCGTGTTGAAGCCATTTTTAATTGTACTGTAAACTTCAAGCGCCCAGTTTCACGAAACCTTCTTTGACGGCGATACGAGGAACTTACCTTCCTCTCCGGCTTCTGAATTTCCGGCAGGATGACACAGAAGGGCTTGATGACTTCCAGAAATTTGACTTTGATGGGAGAAACAAAAGCAGAGTTAGGGCACGTAAAAACCTCCTGTGCTCCCTGGGGAAGCCTTCCGCCCAGCACGAGTTGGAGCAGGGACTAGGGGAGCAGACCGCGCGCGGGGACCACCGAGGGGGCCAGGGGACGCGGGCCTCGTTCTGAGGGGACCCGGGAGGGCCCGGTGGGTGGGCGCTCGCCCGGACCGGTGAGGGGAAGGGCGATCTGATCCTTCCCGGCTTTGCCGCGGCTGCCCCGAGGGACTCACTCGCCATGGCGGCGGCTGTTCAGGCTCCGGGTCCCGCTTCTGCTCCGCTCCACTCCGAGTGAGGTGACACTGCCCGCGGCCCAGCCCGCTACGGAGCGCAGCACCTTCGCCGAGAGACACGTCAGTGCTAGCACCGCGGCGAGCGGCGCGGCGAGCGGCGCGGGGCGGGGCCGGGGGCGGGTCGCGGGCCGCTTCCGCTTCCTGCCACGCGCCGTGGCGCCGCACCGCCTCCGCCAAGACCACAATTCCCGGCATACAGCGGGGCTCCCGGGGCCTGCCGGGAAGGGGGTGCCGGCCGGCGGGGTGGGGTGGGGCACGCCGGGATTGGGAACGTGCGGCTGCGCAGACCTTGCAAAGTGACAGGGCGGGGGGGTAGGGCGGGTTGGGCTGATGGAGAAACTGAGGCAAAGGGTAGAACCCCTCTGCGCCGCAACCCTGTGAGCAAGGCGAAGTCCCAGGTCACTTCTATACCCTTCATAGCACTTATAATTCTGAATTAATGAATAGAGCGTAACCTCCTTTAGTCAGGAGCCGTGTCCCGGCGTAGACCGCGGTGTCCGACTCCTACTAGGTTACCCGGCTGGTGGGGCCGTCGGCACACCCTCGTTTGTTGAGTCATTTAGCAAACCCGGAGGCCTGCTTGGGCACAGGGTCCCAGAAATGATTCCTGTCGGGTCCCTGCAATCTCAGGACGAATGGGAGGAGTTCCTGGAGAGACAGAGGGTCAGAGAAGAACTGGGAAGCTCAGGAAATGGCCTGGCCTGCTAGGGAATCCAGGGGGGCCTCCCAGAGGAGGCTTTTGTGCCACACCTTGAGGGATACTGCCGATGAGAAATGAGGGAGGAGAGTGCGCCAGGTTGAGAAAACCTTTGTGAGCAAGGCATGGCGGTGTGACTGCCTTAAAGATCTATAGGGGAAAATGTCCTGTTTGGAGCAAAGGCTATATGAAGGGAAACAGTATGACTTAATGTGCGTTGGAGGATAATGGGTGGGGCAAGGTATGCTAGATGGGGAGTTAGGAATTTATTTCCTAGCCATGTATACTCAAAGGGTAGCACTGAGGGAGAGACTTTATGCTGTGATCATTTAGAGGAAGAGGAGATGGGCGATACTGGCTGGGGGTTAGGGAGGGTTTCAGTGAGCTAAATCGTGACCTGGACCTGGTATAAGTTAGAGGTGCAGATGTGGCAAGATGCATTTTTGTAATATTAATTTAGGATTGCTATTTCTCTTTCCCCCCTCCCTCCCCACTCAGCCAAGATTTGCAAATTCTTGCCTCAGCAATTTTGCTGGGACAGGAAGTCTTTTTTTGAGAACCTAACCGGGGGTGGCAAATTACAATGACTGCAAGAGGCAGGCAGGTGACTTCAATCATTAGTGAAGTGGTCCAGGTGTGACATCACTTGATATCCATCCCCCACACACAAAAAAGTGACCATGCACGACTCTCAGAGGTGCTTCTGAAATGCAGCCTCATCTTCCAATCAAGGAGCCATTGATAGTCTTTTCTGGGGTGGCGGCCAAATGCTAAAACTGGCAGCTCCTGGTCTAAATGCAGGAGATAGGCCAGAGCTGGTTTAGCCAGCCCGCACCCTGTACCACACTGATGGTTAAATTATTGAAAGACAAGGGGTGCCTGGGCGGCTCAGTCAGTTAAGCATCTAACTTCAGCTCAGGTCATGATCTCACGGTTCATGAGTTCGAGCCCCGCGTCAGACTTTGTGCTGAAGCTCGGAGCCTGGAACCTGCTTCAGATTCTGCGTCTCCCTCTCTCTCTGCCCCCTGCTCCCATTCATGCTTTAATGTTTTAAATAAACATTAAAAAATTTTCTTTAATATTGAAATACATAAGGGTAAATTGTATTGTACTAATTGTGATGTGTTATAGTTAGTTAATATAAATTTAATATAAACTCATTGGTGACAGTTTTAGGATATTAGTACCATTGAAACTGGGCCTCCTGATGTAGCTACGTCTGAGAAATAGTCATGACATAGTTTGGCCTGTGTCACTGAAGGAACTGGCTGAGTTACTTATGTTAACAAAACGCTAATTGCTTTAGGAGAATCACTAGCTAAAATAATCTTATTGTTGGCACTTTGTGATTGTTTTCAAAGTAGTAGCTGTGCAGCGTCTCGTATTTATACATGTAAGATTTTAGTATAAAATACTAAAAAATACCTAGAATGAACAGACAAAAAAATCTGGATACATTTTTAAATATATTTATTTTGAATATAATAAACATGAATCTGGTCCATCTGCAGAAGAAGGAATTCTAAGAGCAGTGAATCCCAGCCTGAGACTTGTTTTGATGCTGTGCGAGAATCTGCACAAAATGAAACTTGTATTAAATAAACTTTATCATATAAAATCTATAGATCTGGAGTGAGAAAGAACTTGATTTTTTTTTTCCAAGCAAGAATATGACTTCCTGCTGGTGACAGAAATGTTGGATGCAAATAGTGCTCGAAAGTTATGTGTTGAAACATTAAAGTACTAAGCAAGTGTATTTCAGCAGGATGCTGTTAAAACTTGTTCAAGTGAAATCTTTGGTACTATATAATTGGGCATTTTTATGAAAATATTTAGAACTTTTTTTTTAATTTTTAAAATTTATTTCTGACAGAGAGAGAGACAGAGTTTGAGCAGGGGAGGGGCAGAGAGAGACAGAAACACAGAATCTGAAGCAGGCTCCAGGCTCTGAGTTGTCAGCACAGAGCCCAACACGGGGGCTCGAACTCACGGGGGCCACTAAACTGACTGAGCCACCCAGGCACCCCTAATAGGACTTCTAAAGGACAGCTATTGATATGGACACGGGTACCATGGACCCACTCGTTACAAAACATAGATGTACCTAAATGAGAAAACAACTTTTTGACAAACATAAATGAAGGCAGTGCATTTAATTTTTTACTTACTAGATTACCGGTTTATTATAAAAAGTGTACTCAGGAAAAGCCAGATGGGAGAGACACACGGGGCAAAGTATGTGGGAAAGGGCTCAGAGATTCTGTGCCCTCTCCAGGTGGGCCGTTCTCCCCAAATCTGCATGTGTTCACCAACAGGGAAGCTCTCCAAACCCTGTCCTCTTGGGTTTTATGGAGGCTACATTACATAGGCATAATTGATTGAATCATTGGCCGTTGCAAATTGATTTCAACCTCTAGCCCCTCCCCCAAGGCACAGCGTTTTATTTTTTTATTTATATATATTAACAAAAATTTTTTTAATCTTTATTTTTGAGAGAGAGCATGAGCAGGGGAGGAGCAGAGAGAGAGGGAGACACAGATTCCGAAGCAGGTTCCGGGCTCTGAGCTGTCAGTACAGAGCCTGACACGGGGCTCAAACTCACAAAAGCGAGTTCATGACCTGAGCCCAAGTCGGATGCTTAACCGACTGAGCCACCCAGGTGCCCCTATTTATATATATTTTTAATGTTTTTATTTATTTTTTTCCTTTAAATTTTTAAAAATGTTTATTTATTTTTGATGGAGACAGAGACAGAATGTGAGTGGGTTGGGGCAGAGAGAGAGGGAGGCACAGAATCTGAGGCAGGCTCCAGGCTCTGAGCTGTCAGAACAGAGCCTGACGTGGGGCTCGAACTCATGAGCTGTGAGATCATGACCTGAGCTAAAGTCGGACGCTCAACTGACTGAGCCACCCAGGCGCCCCTGTTTTTATTTATTTTTGAGAGAGAGGGAGAGCCAGCAGAGGGGCGGGGGGGGGGGG